GGCCCCATGCGGATTAAATGTGGGCATTTCCATATTTATCTGCCCAGGTATTTACCATATGGGGCCCATGTACTTTAAATAGGGGCATTCCCATATATATTTGCCTATATATTTGGCATATGGGCTCCATATGGGTAAACCATGGGCAAGGCCCATATGTGATTGCCCAGACGGATCCCATAAGGGAAAAATATGGGGTAGCCCATAAGACTTTTCCCAGATATTTTGCATATGGGCCCCATGTGGGATTGTTACCTGGGTTACGTTGACACTGTATGCTTGGGTTCATAGGAGCTATTTGTTTCTAGTTTTATTGTTTAGACCAATGCGTAAATATTTCCTGGTCATATATGCTTTGCTGGTTTTTATTTTATTTCACATGTTTTGTTATGTTTTCCCTTTTCTCTAGCAAGAATAGAAATAGTAAAGGTAGTTGCGCCAACATTGTTAATACCAATGTTGATTGTGCGCTGTGGGCGCACCGTATGATTTGTGGTTTTGTTTTACGCCTGTTGGGCGTCCCACTCATGTTGTCGTACCGACTTACATCCGAGAGATTGTTTTGTTATTAAAAGCTTGTTTACAGTTTTACATCTTAGTCTATCGTGTGATTACTGTGTGTGGATACCTTCTTCACCCAATACTGGCGTTATGTATGCAATTGATTAATAATTTTAAAATAGAATTCTCATGCGTAAAATTGGTCAACATTTTTAAAAATGGGTTTACTTGTGTTTTACGCATTAAATAGATCAACTTCTTAAATATTGTTTAGTCTTTTTTAAAAGTTATGTTCGCATTATTATGAATAAACGGTCTTCACTATATACTAGTAATACCGTATGGGACCAAACTAGAGTATTTATGTTGCATAAAATGCATCCAGTTTTAGTTAGGTTCATTGCAATTAGAATTATGCATAAAATGGGTTCACATTACATTGTGTTTAGGAGTATATGGTCCGTTTTTTTTAAACATGACCCTAAATATTTTTGGTGATTTCTTTTATAAGCCAAAAATGAAAAGGCCCCTATTTGAAACATAAAAATGTTTACTAGATTAGATCAGCTTCGTTTAAAATGAATTTTACCAAAACATTGAAAAGCCAAATTAAATTATTTGAGTGAAATGGTCCTTATCGATTATAGGAAATTTCAGTGCAAATGAAAGTGATGACGTCAACACTAACTTATCAGATATTTATCATCTTCAGAATCTGTAACAAGCTCTATATAATCTTTTAGTTGTATACATCATTGCTGATGATTACATAATATTAATTAATGTTGTTTACGAAACTAGGCCTATATATCTCTTAATTCAGATTCGACTACAAATGTACTTTAAAATGTGTTGGGTTTGTCTATATTGCTCTTAGTGGGGCTTGCCCTCCCAAAACCATGCAAGCGTGCTGTCTCTGAATGTTAAACTGAGTAATAGCATAAGGATGTTGTAGTATTGTATACTTTAATATAGAGAAGACGTAATATATTTACTCATAACTTTGGCAATAGTAAGTCGTTTCCAGTAAGCAACCTATTATTATAGGAATATGTTTAAAAGATAATTTTTTTTTTAAATAAATGATGCTGATTTTGGCATGGCAAGCCCCACATGGACAAGGTAATGTTATCACAATTATATGTTGGAATCATAAAATAATATAATACCCCAAAATGAGTAGATAACGTGTATTTGTTACATTCAATTTAATATTGTAAATAGAGCCTACCATTAAAATATTATGCAAATTGTCGTCCAATCCAAAGGTCTTTGGCTTAAATCTTACAAAATATAAATTCCAAATCAACTGTAAACATTTTTATTATATTATTACCACTAGTAAGTTGGATGAGAGTAATATAAACTGTGTTATTTTATTGGCGTGTTGGCTTCAACTGCCACTCTCATATGTTCTGTATCAAATTATTTTTTTTTATATTATTTTAAAAATTGTTCAAGTCTTTCACATATTTTATTTGATTATGAGAAATTATTAAAATGTTACTTTACTTTAAATGCCATTCATTATGAGTTGCACAAGCCGATTTCATAAGTTTAGTAACTGGCAGCTATAGAAACAATATACACACACTTCCAAAAGCGTTTAAATATGGTGCAAATGCAACATAAAAGAACCTACCACGGACTCTGCTGTCTACTTCGCAAACTAATTAATATGTTGTAAGCATTAAAATCAAACAGTAATTTGACACAACACATTTCATAACATTTTTTGATAGTAGAAATAAAAGTTTTAAAAACGTTATTTCACTAACAGAGTAGAGGAATGACATACAGTATACAGTACTTCATGAACTACCAAAATATGCAACTTCACTTTTGTTAAATATCAAATGAATTAACTTTACATGTTACAAAGGGAGAGTCTTACTTTCTCGCAAACTTAGCAATAAATTGTCTGCTTAGAGTTTATTTAAAGATGTATTGCTTTTAGTAAACTGAATCATTAGGAATACAATAATTTAAGCAACTAATTTAGTTGCATACTTGGTTTTTACTCATCACTAACTAAATCCAAGTGCCTACTACTGGCTTAGAATTATATATAGTTATGTATGACAATTATGCTAAGAATTAAAATGGCGTGTGATTGTGAGTGTAGGGTGATTATGGTAGGATTAAGTGGTATTGCTAAATCCCACAAACCTCCCAAACCACACTGTAGAAAATGAAACAATTCAATTGTGATTGACTGACTTGGTATATCAATAAGAAAATTAAATACATTCATAACTATTTTTTTTGGTTAAAATTTAGATTTTTTATGAAAAAATACTTGCAAATACACCACAAACCTCTAAACACATTGCAAACCCCATCTAAAACCATATTATTATGATTGTAGAACTCTCTTTTTCTTTAAAAAAAAATAATAATTTGATGTTCATATTAACCCACTGTTTGTGGGGTTTACCAATTCACAGATTTAATATTTGGAAAATTGTGATTTCGTTTCTGTGAAATCGGCCACAAGTAAATTACTTTAGTATTATTAAATGCATGATTTATGTTGATTTGTTGATTATGTTGTTGCTATTTTTTAACATTTAAATGGAAAAAAAATAAAAAGTGTAATTCATGGCTTTTTATTTATCTTTGAATATTTTATCATTAAATATTAATTCTTGCAAAAAGTAAAATGTAAATGGCAATTTGTTTGATGTTAGATTCCTTTTAAAAACTAAATTATTTAAGATAAAAAAATGCATATATAGAATCAAGAAAATCAATTTTAATACAGAATTTGATTATTGGGGCCATTTTTACCTACCTGTCATATGGGGCCATTTTTACTGAGGCCGCTTTTCCAGGGCCTTTTTTCCGGGGCCATTCTTACCGTACACCCTTGCGAAGATATTATTTAAATCTTCAACAATACTTAATATATCCCTCTTATTTACTGTAACCTGTTTATTCTTTTTACCTAAATGACATAGATTCTTAATTCTACGATGCCATAAGTTGGCTTGATTACACTTTAACTGTTTAATGTTATGATCATAAAAAAGTTTTCTTTGCTTTACAAATCTATCTCTGAATTGTATTACGAAGTCTTTTATAGTCATAATTTCTTCCCTTTTTAAAAGCCTTATCACGTTTCCTCACTAGTTACTGTAATTTATTGTTGAACCACGGTTTGTCCGACTCATGTTTTTTATGGTAATCTCTGGAAAATATAATTCATATGCATTACAAAGTTGGGAATTAAATTCTTTAGAAATGAGAATTACATCATTTTCTCCAGAAAGTCCCCAGTTATATTGAGTAATCCATCTTCCAAAATCTAAAAAATATCAGATTCCTTAAACGGTCTCACATTCTTCGTAAATCTACGTGATTTCGTTTTTTTTTTTTAAATAATAATTGATTTGTGGTCACTTTTTCCGATACTGGCAATTGGTGCGATTTCTCAGAAAAAATCTAAACTAAATCTAGCAATGCATTGTTTCTTGTTGGGAAGTCAGCAATGTGCTTGAAATCAAGTGTAGTAGTCAAATCCGTAGTGTCTATACGATTAAGGTCACCCATAATCAATATTGTAGCATAAGGTTCCTTACGTCTAATTAAATCAGCAGATGTAGTTAAATGGTCAACAAAAAGTCTGGAATCTGTTGCTTTTGGTGGAAAATACACAACTCCAACGTAGATGCTCCTGAAAGTTTTTCGAGTTTTAGTTGATGGAAAATCGGGTGTTATTCAACAGGGGTGGTCTGAAGATGTTTTAGTGACATAAAGTGCCACACCACCGCCCACTTTTCCTATCCGGTTTCTGCAAAAACAGTTAAAATTAGGAACCACGTATTGTTCATCATTGCTGTCACTTTTAAACCAAGTTTCTGAAACACCTGCTACTTGCACTTCGTAGACATCTAATATCACCTCAAATTCAGCCAGCTTATTTCGCAATGACCTTGTGTTAGCGAAAAAAACTGAATACATTGAGGGGTTGTCATCTTTATGATCACTTACATATTCGGTGATAAGATTCTTCCAATTCAAACCTCGGGAGAAATTATTATTTTTATCCCCTGTAAACTAAAAAAAAAAAAAATAATAATGATAATTTTGAATCGCAGTATCGCAGTAAAAAAACAAAGTACAGATATTGAAATTCGCAGGACAAAAGTCGGGTTGATGCCAATACTGCATGACATGAAAAGAAGGCTAATGACGAAACAGCTGTTGAAAACAGATTTTGGTGTCACATGAAGATCTAGCCTTGCAGGACAACCAAAATGCATTTTTATAAGCATTGTTCTTTGGTTCACTAGCTGTTTATTATCATGTTAAGAACGATAAAACCAAATACACCATAGCGCCTGGTTATTAATACTAGGCGCTATAATAAACATCGATTATTATTATCACAAGTAGACGTATTGCAAAATAACCTAAATTTGATTGTGCTTACCTCTATGATTTAACAATGGGCTTCTTCCACCAAGAGTTATGCATTGCATCGGGACTCCTGCAACTGTTAAAATTTAACATTCTTATGATAAAGTTTTTACTTCTTCTGGGCTGCTATGTTAAATATATTAAGTGGTAATAAGTGTACCAACTATTACTGCCCTCCCATGGCAAAAGGGCATAACTGACAATTTGCTGTTTTGGAGATATTAAGCAAAACGTGTAATTTATTTAGCCCTAAAATGTGTTTTATTATTTAATTTTATGGTTAATGTATTCAAATAGACAAATAATGTGTCTTCCAGTGTAGCACACATTTTTTCTATAAATATTGATTTTTGCGCTCAAAATGTCAGTTATGCCCTTTTGCCGTGGGTTTTCTGATTCAAGACATGTTGACAAACTTTGGCAAAAGGATATAAGTACACAGTTTAGTTCCTTTCAACGCAATTTTAAGTCAGATTATTCAAAAATAACATTCAATATATAATTGTATATGTTATTCATGTATAAACTATCAAATAAATGTACAATAATACCAAAGAAACGCATTAAATAATACTAAAATTACAAACGATTAAAAACCCATGTATAGGCTAACCAAGTATACAAAAAAGAAAATGAATTAACATTAGTATGCTGTTATGTATCAACAAAGCCTTTTTGGCTCAAGATGCTAGATCGAGGACTCTGTGGGTAGGGGAGGGGCTTATGGACCCCTAGGGGTCTGGGGCCCTGCACAAGAGCGCATAGGCGTTACGTCACTGCGTGAAGGATGCATGCGTATGCGTATATGAAATAGAACTGCTGTTTAGTTAGAGTGCGCGTGTGACTGTTTCAATGTGTACGTTAAACAAGAATTACAATTATTTTTAAAATTTTATTTACAAAGTAAAATAAATATATATTTTAAGTCATGTAAGTCATTACAATATAAATTAGGCCTATTATTATTATTCTTATTATTATTAGAAATTCTTCTCTATGATCCAAATTTAAGTAATAATAAAATGATTATGAATATTATTGGTTTTTTTTTATATTGTAATAAAATATTTAGAAAATGTATTATATATTTAGATTTAGATGGAAAAGTAAGTTGTTGTTTGCTTAGTGAACACAGTTGATTCGAGTAAACTGTGCAGTTATACCTTTTTGTTATATGCCATTTGCTATAAATAAATGTTGTAGTTATGCCTCTTTGCCATAGTTATTTGCTAAATAATCGTTTTAGTTGTCCCTCTGTGCCACTGTCATTTCTAGTTAAAATGTAAATTGTTATTCTGCCATGGTTAATTATTTTTTATTAAACAGTTACTATTTTCCCATAGTTTATTTCCATTGTGTTTAACTGTTGCCATTCAAAGTAAGGCAAGATTATATAGCATAAATTAATTAGACTTATCATGTTTGCCTAATATTAACTAGACATATACTACTGTCAAGAATCATACTATTTAACCAATTTCTATTTACAAATTGTGAGTACTCAAACAGTAAGAATAATAAATATAATAAAACTTAACAAGCAACCTTCATTTTAACCAGTGAGAAAGCTCTCTTCTGATTGGTTGGCTGTTGAAAGACCGTCACGCTTCAGCGTATAACAGCCTATCTTTGGAGTTATGCCCTTTTGCCTTAGGAATTTAATGAAAATTGTGTAGTTATGCCCTTTTGCCATGCCCTTATCAAGCCCGGGGGACATTTTTTTACAATTTTTTTTGTGTCAACATGTGTAACATGATCTACTGACCCCACTAGGCTATATAACTCATTTTCGCCAAAAATGTCAGTTATGCCCTTTTGCCATGGCCCCCCATGGCAAAAGGGCATAACTGACATTTTGGGGGGGGGGGGGGTGGCAGTATAGGAGTTTTTTAAATACTTCAGTTTACAGGGTTTAATTTTAAATCTGAGTGGGGTAACTCCTAAATTATAACGCAATTATGGCTTGTTTGAAGCACATAGTGAGGAATAGGACCACAAAATGCATCTAGTAATCAATTTTCTAGCTTCTACATCTGATAACGATGTTGGCAGGAGGTTATGTTTTCGACTTGTTTATTGTTTAGCTGTTTATTTGTCTGTCGGAATATTTATTTTGAACAGCCTACAGACCATATTTTTATTTAAAATTCTTCAAACTTGGCAACAATGTTCCTTTACTTAAGATCTGGAGCTGATTAAATTTTGAAAGGTTAGGGTCAAAGGTCAAGGTCACAATCAACGAAAAACTATTTTAAAAATTTCTTTGACAGCTTATAGTTTTGATCACAAACTTGTCAGACTTTATCACAATGTTCCATGACCAAAGATCTCATTACCTCCAACAACCAAGTTGGCGGGAGGATATTTTTCTCTGTTAATTTATTTATATACTTATTTATTTATTTGCTTGTTAAACATAGCGTACAACCTATAGCTTTCATCAGAAATTATTCAAACCTGACCACAATTTTTCTTTACATAAGATCAAGAGCTGATTAAATTTTGAAGAGTCAGTGTATAAGGTCAAGGTCACAATCAACGAAAAAAAGAACATTATTTACTTGTCTAGAGCCCGTAGATTTAATCACAAAGTGTTCAAACTTTGTCACAATGTTCCATGACCAAATATCTCAAAGTATTTGAATTTAGAAGGGTAAAGGTCAAGGTCACAATCAACAAAAAACGATTTTTGTGGCTACTGAAAGTTGCTACTGTGTCATCAACATTTTAGATCACGAGCCGACTACCAAATAACGCTCATAATTAATCTGGCAATCATTTCCGATAAAATACGGGCGGTTACGAATAATAGCCTATTTCGTGGCCAGATGTTTCACCGACAGACAGTGGCCTACAGATTATCGACCGAAATACCATTTCGCCGAATGCCAGTTCGCCGACAGGACGATTCGCCGACAGCCAATTTGCCGTCAGACAATTTGCCGACAGCTAATTTACCGACAGCCAATTTGCTGACAGACAATTCGCCGACATTTTGTCGTGGCCGGACGTTTCACCGACAGACATTTGTCCGACAGACTTTCGACCAACAAACTATCGACCGAAATTGCATTTCGCCGAATGCCTGATTGCTGACAGGACGATTTACCTACAGTCATTTTGCTGACAGCCAATTTACCGACAGCTAATTTGCAGATATTTTTTGGGAACATGTTAATGGATTGATGTGCCACATTTAAATAGAAAAAAAATAAAAAGTGTAATTCATGGCTTTTTATTTATCTTTGAATATTTTATCATTAAATATTAATTCTTGCAAAAAGTAAAATGTAAATTGCAATTTGTTTGATGTTAGATTCCTTTTAAAAACTAAATTATTTAAGTTAAAAAAAATGCATATATTGAATCAATCAAGAAAATTAATTTTAATACAGAATTTGATTATTGGGGCCATTTTTACCTACCTGTCATATGGGGCCATTTCTACCGGGGCCATTTTTTCCGGGGCCTTTTTTTCCGGGGCCATTCTTACCGTACACCCTTGCGAAGATATTATTTAAATCTTCAACAATACTTAATATATCCCTCTTATTTAGTGTAACCTGTTTATTCTTTTTACCTAAATGACATAGGTTCTTAAATCTACGATGCCATAAGTTCGCTTGATTACACTTTAACTGTTCAATGTTATGGTTATAAAAAGCTTTTCTTTGCTTTACAAATCTATATCTGAATTTTATTACGCAGTCTTTTATAGCCATCATTTCTTCCCTTTTTAAAAGCCTTATTACGTTTCCTCACTAGTTACCGTAATTTATTGTTGAACCACGGTTTGTCCGACTCATTTTTTTTATGGTAATCTCCGGAAAATATAATTCATATGCATTACAAAGTTGGGAATTAAATACTTCAGAAATGAGATCTACATCATTTTCTCCAGAAAGTCCCCAGTTATATTGGGTAATCCATCTTCCAAAATCTAAAAAATATTAGATTCCTTAAACGGTCTCACATTCTTCGTAAATCTACGTGATTTCGTGATTTTTTTAAAAATAATAATTGATTCGTGGTCACTTTTTCCGATACTGGCAATTGGTGCGATTTCTCTGAAAAAATGAAGGATGATTAGTAAAAACTAAATCTAGCAATGCATTGTCTCTTGTTGGGAAGTCAGCGATTTGCTTGAAATCAAGTTTAGTATTCAAATCCGTAGTGTCTATACGATTAAGGTCACCCATATTCAATATTGTAGCATAAGGTTCCTTACGTCTAATTAAATCAGCAGATGTAGTTAAATGGTCAACAAAAAGTCTGGAATCTGGTGCTTTTGGTGGAAAATACACGACTCCAACGTAGATGCTCCTGAAAGTTTTTCGAGTTTTAGTTGATGGAAAATCGGGTGTTCTACAACAGGGGTGGTCTGAAGATGTTTTAGCGACATAAAGTGCCACAGCACCGCGCACTTTTCCTATCCGGTTTCTGCAAAAACAGTTAAAATTAAGAATCACGTATTGTTCATCATTGCTGTCACTTTTAAACCAAGTTTCTGAAACACCTGTTACTTGCACTTCGTAGACATCTAACATCACCTCAAATTCAGCCAGCTTATTTCGCAATGAACTTGTGTTAGCGAAAAAACTGAATACATTGAGGGTTTATCATCTTTATGATCACTTACATATTCGGTGATAAGATTCTTCCAATTCAAACATCGGGAGAAGTTATTATTTTTATCCCCTGTAAACTAAAAAAAAAAAAATAATGATAATTTTGAATCGCAGTATCGTAGTGAAAAAACAAAGTACAGATATTGAAATTCGCAGGACAAAAGTCGGGTTGATGCCAATACTGTATGACATGAAAAGAAGGCTATTGACGAAACACAGCTGTTGAAAACAGATTTTGGTGTCACATAAAGATCTAGCCTTGCAGGACAATCAAAATGCATTTTTATAAGCATTGTTCTTTGGTTCACTAGCTGTTTATTATCATGTTAAGAACGATAAAACCAAATACACCATAGCGCCTGGTTATTAATACTAGGCGCTATAATAAACATCGATTATTATTATCACAATGAAGACGTATTGTAAAAAAACCTAAATTTAATTGTGCTTACCTCTATGATT